GCTTTCTGTCCTTATGCTTTTCACAGAAGGTTCATTATAGCAAGCCTGCAAAACTTAGAGGCTTTGCTGTAACAGAGAACACTGAGGAGTTTGCTCCCTGGGTTTCCTTGGCAGCTGAGAAACAACATTGGGGAGGGGGGAGGCACGGAGGGTGTAAGCCAGTCATTTAATTAGTAAGTCTGTAACCAAAACCCCATCTATCTTTGCTGGCAGGTGGCTGACTGAATTTCTATTATTAGCTGACAGGTGATGTCACAAAATCTGTCATGCAGCCAACCAGGGAATCCCCAGTGGAAGATAAATGAGGAAGGGGTCTGGGTTATAAACAAAGGTGCTCTTTGATTGACCTCCATTCACTGTGGACATGTGACGCATCCTGCTAAACCTCCCACCGGCTTCCCCCACCCTTGTCAGAATTAGGGCACTGAGTTCATGCTGTGTAAATTATCTTCCCAGCGTGGTGTCTGGCTGTTAGGACTGAAGTATATGAATGTACTTAACCTTCAGCAACCTTTCCATTGTTTACTTTAGAGTATACATTTGTAGCTTCTGGCAAAAGGTAGGGATATCCTAGAGAGCATGTTAGGCCTCTTATTAATCGAGTTTCAAGAAGCTGCACTCTTTTTTCTTTTTCTTTTTGAGTCTGATAGGGAAGAATTGCTGGCAAATAGAAGAGGTTACATTCCCTCCCTCTCTTTTTTTCTTCTTATTATTAACTGGGTATTTGAGACACTGTAAATATGAAGACTTTTGAAAATATCCTCAGTTGGAGGCAAGTCTCATCTAGCAACACACAGAAGTCTAATTGGCTGTACATCCGTTATTTTTTTTTTAGTTGACCTTGTGCAAGCCACGTGGGAATGAATAGAGACTTCACAGTGACAGTCCATACCAGGTTGTACCCATAGCCATAAATGCCAATTCCGTGTGACTGACATGCCACAGACATCAGATTCAAAGCTTGTTTTTTTTATGCCCATTTCTCCCTCTTTGATAAAGTAAGCACATTCATTTTGGGCCACTTTCCAACAGACAGGCAGACACCATTTTCTAGCTAGATATAGAGATGAGATGGGAATGAATTTTTTTTAAATGGTGATTCATTGTGATTCATGATTCATCAAGGTTAGCAAATCAATGAATATGAATTTATGAATATTAATCAACGAATCAATTCATCCATTCGTTTTCACTTTAAAATGCTATAAAACTTATCCCCAAGCAGCTAGAGATACCAAATTTGTAGGGAAGCTTCCTAAGAGGGTTTTCTACAAGTCCAACAAGTTTGGTGAACATTAGCAGCAAAGTGGACTGTGGCCCCATTGGCCACTGAGGCAATTGGCAGCAAAGCAGACTTTTTGGCCCCATCAGGCACTGAAGTATTTGGCCCACACAGTCACACACCAAATTCCCCCCCCCAATCCACTGTGCCTGAAGGGATACAAGTTAACACAGTAACTAAGTTTTTAAAACTTAAACCCCTGCCAACTAAGTCTCAGAGTAAGACGCACACACAACCACAGGAATTAAATGTTGTTGGGAAAGGGATTCCACAGTCACACAGAAAATTCCCCCACACACACACCGTGAACACAGCCTCCAAAAAAGAAGCAGCCTAAGCTAACTGAAATCCGCTAAATAAATCTCTCCCCAAATTCCCAGTAAAGTTCTACTAATGAAATAAATCAAATAAAATGAACAAGAAGGGTCTGCTTTGCTCCCACAGAAGTGAAAAAAGCACAGCCACAGCTAGCAAACAAGTAGCACACAAGCACCAACCAACAGCAACTCTTCTCACTCTGGAGAGAATCAGAACAGAAGTGGGGAATGGCTGCAGGAGAAAAGCTTAGAAAGCCTCTGTAAAAGTTACACACACACACACAGCCCTTTCAGCAGCACTATTGGCTGCCTAATATGCCAAATCAGGATCTCCTGATGGACCAGACCTTCTCATTGGCACCAGCAAGCTCAGAGATGGCATAGAGAGGTCCCCAAAAGGGTAACAAATATAGACAAATATTGATAAATTGACAAATAAAACCGGGAAAATATTCATCGAGTTGTATTCGTCGGGACTTAAAATTTGACAAATATGGATTGACGAATATATGATGAATCGGCTATATTTGTCGAAAATAGCAATTTGTTTTTATATTCGTCCCCATCTCTACTTAGCACCTCTACAACAAATTCAACTTGTATTTTCTTCCTTGTTGTATCCATTTTTTCCACGTATGTAAATATATGAGCAATAAATACTCCATAAATATGTGAAGCCATCAGTATAGAAAACAGCAACATTTTCCAGTGGACGTCTAGCAGTAAGGCATGTGTGGGAAGGTACGCTTTTAACTTTATAAACAGTCACACAGCTGCTATTTTAAAGTCGTGGAATGGAATGCAAATAACTTATTGGAAGGGAGAAATCATATTGTCTGCATTGTTAAATATGAATAGTTTGCTTTTTAAAGTCTCAGATAATGCCTGGCATACACATTAATGCTTTTCAGTGGAAAATAAAATGATTTCAAGATCAACAGTTGGGACAGTGCTTTTTACTAGGACCACCTAAGACTTCTCCAAAACTCTTAGTCAGGTTTAATATTAAGGAAAGCAGAGCACTTGGTCAAAGTCTCAAGACAGATGCTAGTAGATTATAGACTGCACTGGATTATATTCTCCTAGGTACAGTAGAGGTTTTAGATTGCACGTATTGATGCTAAAACAAAGAAACACATAATGGCTGATTCCTAGTACAATGTTATCCAAAAAGTTAGGTACAATCCTCTCAATGAACTGATGCCTCAGTCTGTGTGTCATATGCACATATTCCAAATGTATTTAAAAATCAGAAATATTTTTTATTTCACAAGTAGACACAAGGTACGAGTTATTGGTGTATTTTTATCTCTACAAACAGGACAAATTATCAGTTTAACATACATTACTGGAATACAGTGATTCTTTGAAATAAATTTAGGTGCTTAGAATTACCTGTTCTATTTTGTGGTTGAGGATCAGAAACAAGCCTGTTGTCTCTTTCCACTCTATTCCGCATTTCTGCAGCTTTCCATAAGTAGTAGTTTTGAAAACAGCAGCCGGCAGGTAAAAACCTAGCCTACAAAGTCACGGTTGGGTGGCTTGTTTTCCTGTCTCTTATTATGTGACACATATTTATATGAATAAGCACTGTGAGGGAGATCATTACTTTGTTCTGAAAACAATGTATATTCATGTTTTCTTTAAGTGTTACGCAGGTAGGATCTATAAAACATTACTTTCTGTGGACTTAGTTAGGGTTAAGATGAGTCTAAATGAAATTGATGCATAGTATGTAATAAAAGCTTCAATATACCAGGAAGGGGAGCATTTGATATTCTGCAGTGAACTGCATGAGATTCTCAGTTCTTTTATTTGGAATAGGCTTTCATGGACCACTTCTAATGAGGAGCTACATTTTATGGAAGCTTATGCAAAGTTGGCCTGAATCCAGCTCTGTCATTACAATCACACAATTACCATTGCCCCAAGTAGTTGTGCATTTTTGAAATGTATACAAAGTGTTACCACTCTGTGCAAGTGATTCCCTCCTTCCTGCATCCCTCCCCTCCCTGCTGCCCTCTCCTTTTTTTGTACACATGGGTTTCTTATCTCCAGGATCCTTGCATAGAAGGACCAGGAACAGAGGACCATCATTGGCCCACGCTGTGACTGCCTGGTCAGTCACTCTTAGCAAAAACACTAGCAGCTCCAAGGAGCCAGCTTGTTTCTTAAGCAGAACAGTTGCTTAAAAACATACTGGCCATGTGGAGCACCTGGTGCTTTTGGAGAGAAGGCAACTGACTGGATAGCAGCACCAACAACAACAACAATAAAACCAAACTGCTGGAACAATTGGGTGGGAGAGAAGAATCCATGATACCTGTATGGATGGGGCTTTTTTCCTTGCCAATATGGAACTAGATCTAGGACTTAGTCATTAAGGTGATACAAGACTCTTTGTTGTCATATTCTTCCATGAAGGAGTTAGTGGGCAGAACAAATTAGTTTATACACAGCCAAGAAATCCAAGCTATGCATATTTTAGAATCAGTTCCAATGCTGGCTAAAATCCAGTACTGACAACTAGCACAGGCCGGTTGAATCAGCTGGGTTTTAGTTACTCGGTTTCTCTAAAGGTTACATTGATTCAGTGGGCTTATTTCCATTGCAGCTTACTACTGGATTTCAGCTGTTACGTTGAATTGTTTCAGGATTACCCCTAGCATTTTATGTACAAAAATCTATGCATCCGAGCTCCCATATAGGTTATAGAAGTGATTTGGTATTCTTCACATATGACGGGATAAGGTTCACTATTAGTTTTGCAGCTGATGTCCAGTGACTAGTTATTTTAAATGAGATATGGCACCTTTTTTCCACAAAATGTGACATGGCAGAATATCTCAGAGTTGAAACATTTTTTTTAATCAAAATGCTAAATTAATGTTTTTTGATGTTTTGTTTTCAGTGGAGAGGGCACCACTCTCATTACAATTTAAACTTTTCCTCTGAAGAATTACCTTGTGTGCCAATGAGAGTATTACATATAAGGGCTGTGCCAGATCACATTAAGCATTTATTGCCTTTAAAGCACAGAGAGGCAAAATGTGGTGTTTCAGAGTTGTTGGATAGCAGCTCTCAGCAGGCTTAAACCAGCCTAGGCTAGTCAGTGGTGTAGAAAACTAGGAGTTGCAACCATCATCTTCATTACTCGCTGTCCTGACATAAGCAATGCTCTCCTTTTTTTAAATGCAAAAAAGACTGTAATTTAATAACATAAGACATATCTCAAATACCATATTTATTCAGATGACACAATAATAATGCTGTATGCTAGAAGATATATTATGAGATAACTGTCCTCTGATTACCCCTCTCTGCTTATTAGGTGTTACTTCCCTGACAAGAGATAGCACATTTTGTAAAAATTCTCTTTTCCCCCCCTCCCATCCTGCCAGCTAACTCGGGTTCCCTTCAAGGTCCACAGACCCCTCAGTCTACTGGTAGCAATTCCATGACAGAAGTGCCAGCTGACCTCAAGCCTCCAACACCAGCATCCACACCTCATGGACAGATGACTCCTATGCAGGGCAGCAGGTATGATATACTATATATTTTCTGTCCCTTCTGGTAGACTTTCTGGATCTGGGGTCTCTGCTATAGCAGCTGCGCCAAACACAGATGCCTTCCCTCTATTTCAGGGATGTTGCAGATTCCTGTGGCACAAAATGCACTGTGTTGTTGTTGGGGAAATATTATTGCTATGTGACATATCAATATGACAGGCAAATTTCTCAGCTGTTGCCTGTGACATTATTGATGGTGAGTAGTGTTTACCCTCCTGTGATCCTAGCCTCAATGAAAGTGAATACATGAAAGAAGGCACTCTCATGACAGTTTGAAACAGTATAGATGCAATGTTAAATGCAAAAAAGTGCTTATCAAGTACATCCTCCATATTTTACCATACAGTCATTGGCTTGCTTGCAGCATTCACTACTAAAGAAGAGTTGCAAAAAGAGGGTGCAATAGATGAACCTTGCTACCTCACCAGTTCTGCACGTCTAAAATTCTAGGCTGTGAGACTAGTTAGTTTCAGCTCACCCATGAGTTTGCAAGCCACGTCTTCTGCTTTTATGCACCACCACTGTATCTGTTTGTTGCTGAGGGCATCCATAAGTGGCTGTGACACGAAGGGGGGGTGAAGGTTATTCTGGTCAGTTTTAACTGCTCCTTCCTTTGTACCAAGAAAGGTGGCTTTCTGAAGGAACCAGGCAGATGGAGCAAATTAGTATTTTCTCCTAAAGTGAGCTGCCCCAACTTTGTTTTTTCCATTAGTTCCTGTAACATCATCAAGTTACCATTCCTCAATTGAAGTTAGTGACACAGAAGTCACTTCATGTGTTCCCAAAAATAATTATCTTTAATGTAAGCTGAAATGATGCCAAGCAAATTCTGATTATGAAAAGGTGTCTGGTTGTGACAGTGGTAGTATTTTTAAAGTAGTATGTGGAGTGAATATTATCAGAGATAGAATTCAGTTACAAAACTTGTTAGCTGAATGGACGTTTCCAGCACAATCCACATTCATACATTTACTTGCCATTAATCTCTTGCAATAATGTGTTTAAAAGTTCTGTAGCCATGAATTGGCTGCAGATTCATGCAGACAGATAAATGGATGGTGTTCAAACCTCTGTTCAGCTGTAACATTCATCTGTTGGCCTTGGGCCAGTGACTGTTCTCTCCTGTGTGGTTATACTACCACCCTGAGCTTCTTGGCACAAGAAGAAAGAAAACTGGTCACATATTTTAGTCCCCAAAATATTAAATAAAAACTGTTTCTCCTCATATTACATATATTGTACAAATATTTTCCTTTGCTGTCAGATAGTGATGTAGTATAGTCAAGATTCACAAAATAAAACCATCCAGACTTTTATATTAAGAGGGGCAATGGTATTACAGTACACCATTCACACATAGACTAGTCCCCTTTCAGCTTAGGTGCAGTGCTTACAGCACTGAAAATGAATTTTCGCTGAAACAGAATGTTGCTGTGTGCAGTCCGAAGTATTTGGGGGCTTAGCTGTGAATGGGCAGTTAAGACCCATTTGCTCGGGAGAAGAATTGTTCTGGCGAAGGTGAAATCTGTTGGAACTAGTTTGTTAATATGGATCAACACAGCCACCTGCTTGTTTGGCTTCTCCCTTAGGAGTCTGGCTCCAGGGACTATCATCATGAGCGCTTAAACATCAGGTTTTCCACTATACTGTTACTGCCAAAGGTAACACTGGTAATTTAAAAAGAAAATGTGGCTTACTCAGCTACATAGACCACCTCCTAGTGTCAGAATGCATATGATGGTGTTTCCATGAGGATTAAACCTACCTTTCTTCCTTCTTTTTAGAAATAGTTCTGTCAGTGTGCATGATCCATTTTCGGATGTAAGTGATTCCACATTCCCAAAGCGAAACTCCATGACCCCAAATGCACCCTATCAGCAGTCAATGAATATGCCAGATATGATGGGAAGAATGCCCTATGAACCTAACAAGGATCCTTTTGGTGGGATGAGAAAAGGTATTTATATTTGTTCTGGCCAAATTGTCTTACACAGTTAAGTTCTGCCAGTGTCTGTGCTTCTCTGTGTGTATCATTGTTGTATGATCCTTAACCTTTCCATCCAGGGGTATAATGACATTATAAGATATTGTCCTCTGCTTTTGTATTCTTTCATAAGCAGAGATGCTATCTCAGATTTTGTTTTTAAGTTGCGCAAGTTGAGATATTTAAGAAAGCATATTTTTGAGAGTCCTTATCACAGATTTTTAAAAATACCTCATAATAATTATAGCAAACTATAGTGCCTTTAGTTGCTATTTCAAACTATAGTCTGAAATGTGGTTCTGAAGGAAAGCTTTGCAGATAACTTGGACTGGCAGAATGATGAACAAGTAACTCCTAGAGCAATTTAAGGCTGAATTGTTTCCGAAGGCAAACATGTTGAAAACTGAGGGTGTCCTACTTTGGGCATGTCATGAGAAGGCAAGATTCTCTTGAAAAGACAATAGTGTTGGGAAAAGTGGAAGGCAGCAGGAAAGGGCAAAGACTAAATATGAGATGTATTGACTCCCTAAAGGAAGCCACAGGCTTGAGTTTGCAAGAGTTTGCAAGGGCAGGACATTTTGGAGAGCACTCATTCATGAGGTCATCGTAAGTCAAGGACGAGTTGATGGTGTATAACAACAAGAACAATTATAGCAATGTTTTCAGTTAGGTAAAGCAGTTTCTTGTAGTTAAACAAAGGCATTTGGCAAGCCTTCCATGCAGGGCTGTGCCAAAAAGCCGTCCTCTCAGTTTCATCACCCTTGGAGGCTCATTTGATTAGGCCATGAAGGGAGGACCTTATCTGTCAGCAATCTCAGGTTTTGGAACTCTCTGTTAAGGGACAGAAGGTTGGTTCTCTCCCTGTTGCCTGTGGGGGGGGGGGGAACGACAAAGATATTTTCATTCAGGAAAACCTTCAACGACTGACTGTTTAACTAAGGACAGGGGCTTTAAGTGGATGTGTTGGTTTTCTGTAATGTTCAGTGTAAATTATTGTTAGTATTTTAATGAAAGTTTTCAAAGTATTTTCATTTTTATTGTGTTTGAATACTATAACTGGTTTAATTATATATTTTTAACTTACTGTATTTTTATTGGCTTTTAAGTACATTGTAAGCCAGCTTTGGTCTCAATACTAGGAAAAAGGTGACAAATATATAAATCAGATCAAATCAAATTGTTAAGTAAAATAGTAAGCAGGACTATTGAATTGTCTATAAAAATACATTGACTGAAATCCTATTGCTTTGTTACTCAGGCAGAAGGCAAATGCCATCACGTTCACTCACTTCTACCCAGCAATTGACGAGTTCTGCCTTAGATTTTCAAGCACCTGCCAAGCAAGCAGGCACCCCAGGAATTGCAGTGACAACTTGTTAATTGCTGGCTAGGACTGAATGAATGTTATGTCATTTTCCTTCCACATTCATAACAAAGCAGCAGGATTTGAGTCTTTGGTTAATACATGGGACAAGCAAGCTGATTCAGTTTAAGACTACTGTATGTGAATCTCATCAGATGTCATAGACTTGTGATGCAGAAAACTTTCTATTTAAAATATATATTAAATAAATAGAACAAACAAATCCTTGCTCAATCATGTGTGCATCACTATAAGCAAAATTCTTACCAGTATACGCAAAACTCTGGCCAGTGTATTAAGACATATATTGGCTTAATCTTTAAATCTTAATAAAGTCACAAAAACACAGGAAACTTTTAGGAATACAAAATAGGCTATTATAGGTCACAGGGACCTTCACTGAAGTAAAGAGATTTGCTCCAAAGGAATATACTTAATTATTTCAGTCATTATTGGTTTCAGTCATATTTCAGTTAAAATTATTTTGCCCCCTTTCTTATTATTGGGAATTGCCTCTGTTGCTAAATAAGGTTTTAGATGGTTGGAGAACCTAATGAGATCCACAAGTTCCATGTTCCACCTCCTGGCATCTATATTTATGGGCACATCTCCAAAAGTGGCCCATGCAAAAAACATATACAGATTTTTATCAGTAGATCACGTGTCATGCCTTTTGATGAGATTCGGACTCCTTTAACAGTCATATACAACCTTTTTTTCTTACCTAGAACAATGGGGTACCCAGGTGTTCTCGGAATGCAACTCCCAGAAATCCTGACCAGCACAGCAAGTGGTGAAGACTTCTGGGAATTGCAGTCCAAGAACATCTGGGGACCCCAGTTTGAACCACTGACCTAGAAGAATTTGTTTATACATTCTGATATAGTCAGTTTCTAGTACGTTATAGGATATTATTCTAGCTACAGAAAGTCAATAATGGCTGAAATCCTGTTGTTCACATTGTAAGTCAGACTAGAGTGGATCCATTGATTTGGTGAGTCAGCTCCTCTCTAGGTTTCATTGATTCAGATGGACCTACTCTAGTTACAACTTACTTTATACTACATTGATTCCATTTGAATCAATGGAATAGAGAGCTGACTCATCAAATTCCCACTGCATTTTTGGGCATGTTCAGTTGTGAATTATTATGTTAAGCAGTAGGATTTCAGCAACTGTGTCATTCTAAATGAGTACTGGAATTTTGCAGACCAATTTTGGAAGACATGGCACTGTTTCATGAACTTTGGGGTGTTTTGCCCCTCTATAGTAAATTCAGAGAAGTCCACAGTAGAGTCCACATAGTTCTGAAAAGTTGAAGCATCAGTTTGTCCTTTCTTTTTGTAGTGCCTGGAAACAGTGAGGCTTTCATGACTCCTGGACAAATGCCCAACAGTGGAATGCAGGACATGTACAACCAGGCTCCCTCTGGAGCCATATCAAATATGGGCCTAAGCCAGCGCCAACAGTTCCCCTACGGAAGTGGTTATGACCGGAGGTGAGTTGCTCCATCATCTTTATAAAGCAGAGACAATACCACTATTCAGGCTTTAAAGTGCACTGGAGAAACAGGTAGGAAAGGAAAGCACATTAGTTTTACCCCATCTTCACCCATTTCCATTACACTCCATGCATGGATATATGGGAACATGTAAGTGGCAGGGCTAGCAAACTCCTGCTCATAGCACATTTAGTTAACATTCTAGCACCTAAGTAGAATTTGTCAACGAGCAAGATAATAATAATAATAATAATTTATTGTCATTGTAAGTATATACACATACAGTGGGGTCTTGACTTGAGAACTTAATCCGTATTGGAAGGCGGTTCTCAAGTCAAAAAGTTCTCAGGTCAAATCTGTATTTCCCATAGGAATGCATTGAAAACCATTTGATCCGTATCTGCTCTTTTCCGTCCATAGAAACTAATGGGAAGCTGCTATTCTGCTTTCGACCAATAGAGGGGGATATTTTGTTTCTTTTTTTCTTAGGTCAAGAAAGGTTCAGGGAAGGCAGGGAAAATATAATAATAATAATAATAATAATAATAATAATAATAATAATAATAATAATAATAATAATAATAATAATAATAATAATAATAATAATAATAATAATAATAATAATAATAATAATAATAATAATAATAATAATAATAATAATAATAATAATAATAATAATTTATTGTCATTGTAAGTATATACACATACAACGAAATTCACAGACACCCAGAGACCAGACACATGCACACACATAAAATTCCCAAACACTCCCCACCCACTAAAAGTCCCCCACTAAAAATACAAACATCTACACCGCAGGCCAAGTTACACAGTCCAACTAATTATTCACTACTGGTGGTCTTTAAGCTCATTATTAATTGCAATTATAGCTCTGGGATAAAAACTATTGAGAAAACGTGTGGTCCGAGTCTTAATTGTTCTATATCTTCTGCCAGATGGTAACAGTTCAAAAAAGTTATAAGCAGGATGGGAAGAGTCTCTCAGGATGCTATGTTGGGTCACAAAGTTGATTTGGATGAACGTTAGTATATAATACTGTTGCATGTTCCATTGAAATATTCTGTTGCATATCCCAATGTGGATATCATCCATCCATACATTGGTTAGACACCAATCCCCATCTACATTCTGGCCCATCATATGTAATTATAATGGGGAGAAGATAGAATAAAAGCCTCCTCCTTTATGGGTAGCAGAGAGTAAAATCCTCCAAGTTGCCTGACCAACAGGGAAGCATGCCTCCTTATCCCTACCCATACTCCTAGCCCCATCCTTATCCTTTTACTCACTCAGGGTGTTAGGAAAACTTCTTTCTTTTTCTCTCTCTGCGACATCATCACAGAACCAGAGCCAGTTGGTTCTATGGGGCTGATTTCCTTTCAAGGAGCAGAGAATAAGGCTTTTCAAGTTAAAAATAAAATGCATTCAACCAGCATGAGAAGGAACAATAGCTGTATAGAAGTATGATAAAATGTATGAAAAAGTGGAGGGTACAGGTTTTTTGGATATATTTTTTACAAATGTCCTTGTTCTTTTCAGAATAGTAACATTTACTGAGAATATCAAACTTCTTCACAAAAACATTAGCACAGCACTACTGAAAATAACACGGTGACCCACCTTCTGCATTCAATGAAACCCATGTAGGCTCTGTTTTGCTCCACGTCCTGCTAATGTGAGCCTTTTGTCTCTGTGTTACCGGAGCAAGGCCCCTGCAGCGTTACCTGGCATAAAGCCTCAATTGTCATTTTAGCTCCATAACTGGACTGCCTCCTTTCTTAATTATGAGAATAAAGACTTTGACAAAAGCTATTGTAAAATAGAGTCTGAGCATAGAGCAGGAGCAGAAAGGAGCGATGCTTAGATATACTAAACAGTAAAATGTGTTTTACTACTGTACTTGGGACAAGAGAAAAGGGTTTATGTCCCCCTGACTTTAATAAGTAGATGAACAACTAATTCAGGTTTGTTTGCTCCAGTCTAATTCAGATTGACCCACAAAGGAAACTCCAGTTATTGAAGCTTTGTGAAAGGACTTTATCAGAAAAGTCTCAAAATAATCCAGAATCCATTGTTCTTTGATAAGAGCCATTAAAATTAAGCCAGTTTCAAAATACCTCTAAGGGCCAAAGTAAACAATTATGGTTGTTTCGACCACATGAAAAACAATCAAAGAATTCAACATAACATGTATTTGTGAAACTTAGTAGTGTGCAGTTACTTAGTATAGTAATTGTTTCCTTGTTCCAAAGTTTCCTAAAATCTAGTAAATTGGATTTCACAAACAAAAACAGCCATGAAATAGTTGCTATAACTTAATCTTCAAAAAGATATCTTGCATTGGCCTTCATGGCACTTTGAACTTCAGAGAAAGGTCTTGAATACCAACGGAGAGGGCCTTTGGACTTTCCCCACCCTAACCCCCACCCCATAGCAGATTTGGAGGATAAGTGCTTTTTACATGAGATTCCCTTTATCATTTTAGGACAGGTTATGGGCTGGTTCCAGTGTCTTCAAACACTGACCCAAGCATGTACTCTCCTAACGGTTACTCTGGGCAGCAAAGGTGAAGGGCAATTTAATTTTTGAGATGCCTGTGTTAGTGGGATAATCTTAAATCCTAAGCGTTACTGGGCAGAAAGTACAATTTCCCAAATATTTTTGCTGTCCCAGTTCTTTTCACTTCATAGGAACTTCTCCACATCCCTTGCTTAAGCTTCTTTGAGAATGGAGGTGATTGTACAGTGGTTGTACAATATGCAAGGAGATTTATTTAGTTAGGCATCCTTCAGTCTCAAAAGACAAGGGTAACATACAGTGGTGCCTCGCATTACGACGTTAATTTGTTCCAGCGAAATCGCTGTAGAATGAAAATGTCGTAATGCAAAAATAAAAAGCCCATTGAAATGCATTGAAACCCCTTCAATGCGTTCCAATGGGCTGGAAACTCACCGTCCAGCGAAGATCCTCCATATGGCGGCCATTTTCGGTGGCTGTCTTACGAGGAATCCGTCCCAGAAAACAGCGAGGAGCCATTTTATTTACCCGGTGGCCATTTTGAAACCGCCGATCAGCTGGAGGAAAATTGTCATTTTGCGAAGAATCAGTTCCCGAAGCAGGGAACTGATCATCGCAAAGCGGAAAAACCCATTCAGACCATCATTTTGCTATCGCAATTGCGATCACAAAAAGATTGTCATAATGCAGTTTTGTCGTAATGTGGAGCAATCGTAAAGCGAGGCACCACTGTACTCTGTATAGAGGACTTGGAACAGAATCTATTTTATTTATTTATTTATTTGATTTATATCCCGCCCACCTGGTCTGGTTGACCTAGTGTGGCTGAGAAGGCGAATTCGAGAGTGGCAATCCCTTCCACACTGAAGACAAATGCAATCTGTCCCCTGTGCAGCTCCCTGATTTTGTTGCTTTCATGACTGCCTCTTTGTCTCAGCCTCCTGGACAAGGGTCTCTTCAAATTGGGAGAGGCCACGATGCAACG